GTCAGAAGTAATAGTATGTTAGATCTTGAATGTCAGTAGCCCCAGAGATCCTGACAAGACTATTCATGTGCATTCATACGTCTTAACCAAAGCTGACACTAAAGAGAACGGGAATTCACATATTCCTCTTTTTATTGCCATGTATTAAACTCAAATCTTCTATTAGAGACCTCTTCTAAAAACGACATATTCACCATTTGAAAAAGGCATTCTTGCAACATCTACACAAAGCAGCTGAACGTCAGTATGGCATAGAGCAGAGTCTTCCATAAAAACTCAGTGCAAATCTAAATTATGTAGATAATCTAAATTATCACCACAATTATCATCATCTTACAAATGCTTTAAGGTAAATACTAATGGGAGGAAAAAAAAGTCCCTCCAATCTTATCTTCTGTGGGAATTTTGTTATTGTCATTTTTAAATTAAAAAGGAAGTGGTCTTCTATTTTCTTGAAATATGTGACTTGTCCTTAGAGGAATCCACGTATTCCAGTAACTTGAGCTACTTGTTTACAGAAGATCACACATTGTGTAAATATTCTGCTGTACCTTATACTCTCGACATATCTATACACATGCTTGTAGCATTATGTGCAGTACATATATTGGTAACTTTGCAGTGATTTGATCATATTGTTAAAGCATGATAGACATTTCTTCACAGTGATGATATTTTTAATCTTTTTTAAAATGGCTTAGTAGTAGTGACTAATGCAGACTAGGTGGCTCTGGGCATCTAGCCATTTTTAGGTAGTTTAATTTGTTAAAAATTATCTTTCTTCCCACCCAAATCCCCTTGAAACCATTTGGCAACTGTTCGACAGTTCTCTTCTCCAATAATAAGTCCTGCTGAGACCTCTATATCCTCCTGATAGAACTGCCTGTGCCAACTGGAGACTGACTGGCATGAATTTGAACTCTGTACTACTTGATATATTTGCTTCACATGAACCAATTACAGTAATTACCACCTTTGTAGCTGAAGTTTAAGCATTCAGTCTGCACTTCATACCTCAGGTTGCTGGCAATACGTGCAGTCCTGTAATCTCAGTTTTTGTTCAACTAATTAAGTAGAAAATAAATACTTTGAAAAATTAGGAGAGAGTCTGAATGAAAATCAAAGGCTAAACAATGTCACTGTTCTTCATGTACTGTTGTCCTTAAGCTAAACGTCTTGCTTTTTTAGTCTTTACATCTAAAAGGTTCATTTTCTTTTAAGTTCGTCCATAGAGAGATTCAGTAGGAGATCCTGTAGTCCATTGATTTTTTTCCTATTCAACATCTTTTAATGTGAAAGAAAAAGCAGTATAAACAAGAATGGTTTGGAAATGCAAACGATATGTAAGTTCTCCCTTTTGTGTTGGTGTTTTTCAAAATATCATTATTCCTGTCAAAAGTATTACTTCTGCCTAAAGGGGAAAATTATCCCTTACTATTCTTGGCTAGATGTTTTGTTGACTGTGACTATGTAAAAGCGTGAGGATGTAATACCAGGACAAGTGACTACAGTGTTAACTGCCCAGTTCCTACCAGTTCCATTGGTTTAAATCTGATGCAACACTGACCATCTCACCCCTGCCCCCACTATTACCTTCTTTCCAAAGACTAGTTAATTTTTAAATTGGATCAGTAGCATTTTCTTAACTGGTAAAGTTTATATTACACAAAGATGAACCTAGGAACGAGCACAAACTTATTGGACTGTCCCTTTCCCAATATGAATGCACTGCATAGTGTATATACTAACATTTATGTTAAAATTTCTTCATGCAGTTTCCCTCTAGGGAGAGGAAGCGAGATGGAAAAGGCTGCATGTGACAGATGCTAATTATGCAGCTTACTGCACTTCTGGAAGTTGCAGTGATGAGAACTGTATAAGAACGTATGTAGAAAATAGAAAGTGTATTTTCAATGACATTTTTTCACAATATTTTTTTATCTGCCTCCTCCCTCTTTTTTAAGGAGACTTTATTTCCCAAATAGCACCTGCAGTAACCAAAGGCAAGCTATGTCACAAGATCCAAAATTTGTCACACACGGATATAACTATTATCCAGTGTGTCTTAATGTTATTTAGTACTGTTCGTGTAATGAGGAAAGTTGATGACCTGAAGGTTCTGTATTTCAGGTACGACACAAGAAGAGAATGATTTGAAAAACAAATTCTAGTTGATGTACTAGCTTTGTTTCCTCTTTTGTCAATATTTTCTTGATTCTTCCTCCTGTAATAAGGTTTTGGAAAAATGATGTTCTGCTCTTGACTGTCCCTTGGTCCTATGTAAGTACTTACTACTATTAATATGTAAGAACTAATGAACTGGGTCTCAAAATGCGTTTTACAAATAAGTAAACTGAGATACAGAAACCGAGTTCCTCAAAACTAGGAAGTGAATCAGTGCCAAAACCAATGTTAGATGCTAGATTAATCCTCTGATCCGGACATTGAACTGTATTATTTCAGGGAAAATAAATAGATTCTCAGCTAGTGACAATTTGGTGTTATCCTGAATTCAGTGGAGAAATGCAAGTTTACATTTGTTATGAGGCTAGCCCACAGTGAGGCATCTTACTGGATTTCCATTCCCTCCACCAAATCCCAGTTTTACCAAAGGATACTTTCTCTGTCAGAGGAAGACCATAACGGTTCTTGTGTATTAATGCCAAGTGCTGCTTTCTTTTATTTCCTTCGAAGTGTTGGATTTCTCCTTAGGGAGGTGTGACTTAAAAACGTTGCCAGGGAACTCTCTCTCTGTGCAGTAAGACAACCACTCTAATGACCAAAGTGGAGCACGGAAACTTTGGAGGTCTTTTGTGTGCATCTCTGCCCACGGCAGCATGGAGAAGTAGGTTCAAACGCTGCTGCAGAGCAAATCCTCCTCGCATGGTCCTCATCTCCAGTCACCATGGAGAAAACCATCTGTTCTACTTGGAAAGGGGCTGGGGTTGCACACTGCCCTCCCCCCACATCCCTGCTTCATCCCCAGCTGCTGTATTTAGATGAGCAGTGAGGGAATGAATCTCCTGTGTTAAAAATACTCCCGTTCTATTTAGATAAGAAGCAAAATTTTGCTTGCCTACACTGACATACAAAAATAGTCTTGGTGTGAGTAAATCTTCAAAGTTTTGTCTTAGCGAAAATATCTATCCTCCTTATTGTTTCTACTTATCAGATAGATTTATTTATAGAGCGTCCTTCTTTCCTCCCACTCTATCAAGACGTTTGCCGAAGGTTGCCACTCGTCTTGTTCGTGAGTCCCGAAATAATTTGTAGGGCCTTTGAAACATCATCATGTTGCATAGTTGTGATGCAATGTGCTGCTCTTGCAAGAACATATCATATTTTAATGTGAATGTCATGTTAGCTGAGTAATGTGTCTTTCTTTTACTGTAGACGCTTCAGTGGTTTATATATTTTTTTTTACTTTAGATACTTTACAGTGGTTTATATTTCCACTTAATTTTGCAAACCAAACATTCTAAATGTAATGTTAAATTTTACATTCTACATGCAAGATATTGCATTTAGTGCAATAGAAAATTAATATGTAACATGGGAGTATTAACAAGATGAGTATACTTTCAAAATATTTCCTAAAAATAGCTTTCACTTTGTCACTGTAGCATCTTAATTCTGAATACTCTCTAAGTCCTTCTGCAAATCTGTACACGTAGTAACAGAGGTACCACCTACTTCTTCCTCACGAGTTACGCGATCTACATCCGTACATGAAAACTTGAATTTTGGAGTACGGTTTTGCTGCGGCAGCAGATCCGATGTCTGTGGCACTCCTGAAAACATAAGCTCCTGTTCTTAATGCTTGCGTAGCTCTTTAAAAAGGCTTCGCGCTCCCCAGTGCCCGGTGCCAACGTGGTATTGAG